TGAACACACACGCGCGCACACAAGCACGCAGGCGCGCACACGCACACACACATAAATACACACACACACACAGATAAATGAACACACACGCACGCAGACGCACGCTCACACACACACATAAATACAGATGAATGAACACACACGCACACAGGAGCGCGCACACACACACAGATGAACAAACGCACACACAGATGAACACACACACACACTGTCCTTCTGCCTCACCTTGCGGTGCACGTCTCCGTCACACAACACACACAGAATGAACAGACAATCCATCTGGATCTCCAGACACACACCGTCATCCTGCTCCTGCCTGCACCAGCGCAGCACCCCTGCACACACACACACACACACACAAACACACAAACACAAGCCAGTTCGGTTCCCCTATCCGCTTGTTAAGTGGTGACGTGTTTGTGACGTATGTAATACTGTTTCCGGGTCCAAGCCGCCACTTATTTGAGTGGAGAAATCATCCGTTTATGATCACTTTTAATTCATTTCACACATTAAAGTTAATTTTATATAAAATCATAGTGTACACAACAATCTCTGGGCTTGCTGCATCACAAATACCAAAATTTTAACAATTTATAAAAAAAATAATCACTTTCTGGCCATCGGATATTAGGCATGTATATATACTGCCAACGTGATTTTTAAAAGTATTAAATCGCTTTGTAAACGTTTATTATGACCATTTCATGAGTCTCCTCATTCAGTTGAATAGAGCGCTTGGACCCGGAAGCCGCTTCGCGTGATGTCACACTTAACAAGTGGATAGCACATGTGTTTGGACTGTGGGGGAAACCGGAGCACCCGGAGGAAACCCACACCAACACCGGGAGAACATGCAAACTCCACACAGAAACACCAACTGACCCAGCCGAGACTCAAACCAGAGACCTTCTTGCTTTGAGGCGTCAGCACTACCCACTGTGCCACTGCGCCATTATATTATGTTTAATTATATTTCATTAATATTTAATTAAATGTTTTTTTCATTTATATTTTTATAAAATAACTTTAAAATGCTTTAATAAAATGCTAAAAAATATGAAAAAAATAAATGCAAAATTCAACCTTGTTCATTCAATAAATTATGAATTTTAAAGTTTTTTCTTTAGGTGAAAATGTTTTATGAGGGTCATGTTTTTTTTCTCCAGAATACAAAATATTCTAAAGTAGAAAATTAGAATAAATTATTAACATTTTATTTTTTTCTTGAGAAATCCTTTTTTTTAGTAATTTTGTGGATGATTTAATTTTTTATGGATAAGAAGTCCAGTCCTTTATTGTTTTCTCCTGGATACCCTGCATGGGTCAGGTCAACGGTGAGGGCAACTCGAGTGTTGCTGTTTAATTCACCATCGGGGGTAAACTGATGAGTCATCATGTTGTGGTTTAATTTACTGGTGAGTGTAACTGGTGGTGTTGTTAAATTCACCGGTGAGAGTAAATGACGTTCATCATGTTGTTGTTTAGGTCAGTGGTAAGGATGCGCTGAAAAAAGCCACACTGAAGTCTCTGGGTCTCACAGGAGGAAGTGCCATCATACGGTGAGCTCTTGATGACAAGGACTGCTCATATATCCACTTATTGTTTCTTATTTTTTTTGTAAGAACATTTTCTAATCCACCTACATATTCCAGAGATCATGAAATTGACAGTTCTCATGATGACAGCGGAATTAACAATCAATAATCATCTAATCTTAATTATTGTTTAGTCATAATCGCTGGAAATCTATTAACTGCACACCCATAATAATCCCTCCTCTGTCCATCAGATATGTGCTAAAAGGCTCCCCGTGTCCTGATGCACCAGTGGATGCGGTTGCCATGCCAACAGATGCTGTTGCCAAGATAACCAAATCACAGCCGCCACCACCAGAAGCAGCACCCCTCCCTGCGGAGCCCGCCCCTGTTCCTATGGAAACCCCTGCTCCGCCCACTGAGGTCACCACCCTTCTAAACCATCATCTGGTCAAACAGGAAGAGGTGGAGCCAAGCACGAGATCAAAGCAAACAGTGCGGCCCAAAACCCAGGAGTCGGCAGAGGATGACGAGCGGCCAGGGCCATCCAATCAGTGCCAAGACTCCGCCCCCTTGGTCACGCCCACTGATTTTGTACCATTCTCAGGCAGTGGGCAGCGTCTTGGAGGACCAGGCGGAGTGAAGAGCTCCACATCATGGACATCAGCATGTGTGTCCGGCAGCCCACCCAAAGCCAAAAAACCCAAACCCAGCCATGAGATTAAGGTACATAAATGAATATATAAACAAATATATCAAATAAACTAATGGATAAAAGATTATATGACATAAACGAATATATGAAATAAAAAATTATATAAACAAAAATATTAAATAAACGAATAAATAAACGATTATGTAAACGAATATATAAATGAATATATGAAATAAGCGAATATATGAAATAAACATTATATAAATGAATAAATGAAATAAACAAATATATAA